ATATGTTTACATGTCTACATTGGGATCGATCGTGAATATCTAAAACTTGTTAACGTTGTTTACTTTATTATTTACATATCATGAAGAAAAACCAGTGTGGAAAGTAGTAAAGTCGGCAGGGTTACCGTTGTGCGACTAAAGTCGCAATTTGCAACCTTTTTGATGTCCTGTAACTGCGTTTGAAACTTTTTAAGCTTTGTGCGACTTTTCTTCTTTGTTATTTTTAAATTTGAATTTTCCTTTTTATATGTTAATTCAAACTAATTTAGATTTTTCTACGTCGTTTTTGAGTTCCAAGGGTATCTGACATATTCTCGGACCAGTTTTATTGACAAATTTATTTTTCTGTGCGACCTTTTTTCAAGGGAACGACTTTTTGTGCAACTTTTTTAAAATTGCCAGCGGTAACACTGAAAGTCGGACTCGGCCGACTATATGATACCCTTCACCACTTTGGGGATATTCTACATATGTATTTTACAGATGTCGTCTTTTCGAAGGAACATTGACATGAAATTGAACGAACCTTAAATAATCGACCACACACATGCCATTCTGCAATCTATTCCATACTTTGTAATAAGATGTTAAGTAAACTTTACGCACGCTATTTCGTATGCTTCACTGTTTAAAATGTTATATCAATCAGGCACCCATTTATTATTTGGTTTAAAGTCTACATGAATAGGTCGAAATTATATATGGTAGCTATGCTATACCTAAATCCGAACCGATTTCAAGGAAATAGAGGACCAGACGAGGTCTTTTATTCTCCTGTTAACCATAAATCCGCCGCCAAATTCATGTCTCGTTTCATGGCAGCTATAATACTGGGCGTAATCATCTGATTTTCTTACGCCAGTCCCTTTCCATCGCATTTCCTGTAAGGCAATAATATCGGCTTTGTACTTCATGAGTACATCTGCCAAAGCGAACACTTCGCCTGTTATGTACAACGTGCGAACATTACAGGTTTGTTTACAATTATATAACAAACTCTTAGTACTTTGATCAAGAAGCTTGCATCAAAACCCAATACCATAAGATATATAAATATATCCGTATAATGGCTAAGAAATTAATTTGAAATGAATCTGCACCTGTAATGTTCGCACGTTGTACATAACAGGCGAAGTGTTCGCTTTGGCGGATGTACTCCAGAAGTACACAGCCGATATTATTGCCTTACAGGAAATGCGATGGAAAGGGACTGGCGTAAGAAAATCAGATGATTACGCCCAGTATTATAGCTGCCATGAAACGAGACATGAATTTGGCTGCGGATTTATGGTTAACAGGAGAATAAAAGACCTCGTCTGCAAATTCACTCCAGTAGATGAGCGAATTGCTATAATCCGTTTAAAAGCGAAGTTCTTCAACATCAGTCTTATTTGCGCCCATGCTCCGACCGAAGACAAAGATGAGCAGACTTAAGACATATTTTACGAGCGCCTAGAAACAGCATATGACCGCTGCCCTGGCCATGACATTAAAATTCTGCTAGAAGATTTTAATGCGAAAAGCGGAAGGGAAAATATCTTTGGCCCCACGTCGGAAAATTCAGCCTTCATGAAGAAACATCCGACAACGGCATGAGGTAGATTGAGTTCGAGACAGCAAAGAACATGGTAGTTAGCAGCACCAGATTCAGACATCTCGATATACACAAGGCCACCTGGACGGATGGCATTCATCCAGTGTATTAGACGATCGATAGATCCGAGGAGCGAATATCGATTCGGACCACTACCTTGTAGCAGCCAAGGTTCGCACTCATCTTAATGTTGCAGCAAAGGTTCGATCTAACACAACACGGAAACTCGACGTCGAAAAGCTGTAAACACAACAGATATATGCAAAAGGGAACAGAAATCGCACTCTGTACATCAAAAAACACATGCTACTCGCCTACGACGATGACATCGACATAATGGGTCAAACACTGAGAGCGGTAACAGCCACCTTTGAACAAATCGAGAAGGAGGCTGCCAAAGTGGGCCTGGCAGTAAAAGGCGAGAAGACCAAGCTGATGGTATCAACGCGCAAGACGTCCAGTAGACCAACTGTGGAACTTGAGAACTACAGCTTCGAGGTAATCAAAGATTTTATATACCTTGGTACCGCCGTAAACAAAACGAATGACATCAGTTTTGAAATTCGGAGAAGAATAGTGATGACCGACCGATGATACTATGGTCTGAGCAACCAAGAACAACTCAAACACCTCCCGCCAGACCAAACTCACACTCAACAAGACGCTGATACTACCCGTGCTGTTATACGGATCTGAAGCATGAAGAATGGATGAAGATGCCCCAGCCAGAAGGCATATAAAAACGAAGCAGCTGAGTGTTCACGCAGAAGGGGAAGGCCGCGAATAAAATGGAAAGATCAAGCGGGAGAAAACATTGCCGAATATGGTCTTTCAAATTGGAAAAACTGCGCAAAAGACTGATGCGCCTGGAAATTTGTTTAAGCTCGGCTTATGGAACGAATGTCACAAGCCAGCTAAGTAAGTTACATTACATCAGGGATGCTTTGCACTCTCGCGGGAGCAAATATCACTATTCTCTCACACACATTCAACTGAACCAACTGAAAAACCATTGACACACACATAGACAAATGCGTGAGAACAGAATTTTTTACGCTCTGCATTTGTCTTTGAAACATCTTATGGGTATAGCTTTTATAGCTAACATACTTCCAAAATTTAATTCTTATTACGAAACGCTGTAAAATAAATTTTCTCGAGAATCGATCGTGCCTAATATCCGTGTCCAAGGGCCATTCATTCATGATTATTCATGTTTTGAATCCGCTTTAAGCGCTAATTAAATGTAAATGTTAAATATTCTGTCTGACGTCGGTATTATTTTAGTTAAGAGGCACTCAACATCCCACATATCCCCTGATTTAAACCTTTCAACAGCTATCTGGATTTTTGGTAAGCGCTTATCATTAATAAGTATCTATGTATATTGTTGCTGGTAAATATGAGAACAATAATGTAGTATCAGTGTGTGTGTGTTTCTTTTGCTGATGCAGGTATTGCAGTACATTCCAAACTGTTGGTTGTTGCGCATTTCTTTTTGTTGCATTTCAGTCCGCCTGATGTGATGAGACATGCATTCATTTTTCTGGAAAATGTGTTAAAGTTTTTATACCCTTCACCACACTGTAGTACAGGGTATTATGTCTTTGTGCATATGTTTGTAAGAGGCAAAAGGAAACGAGATAGACCCATGGTTCCTTTTGAGAATATGCATAGAATCACTTTCTGAGTCGATTTACGCATGTCCGTCCGTCCGTATGTCCATGTATTTTTGTTAACAAAGTACAGGTCGCATTTATGATCCGATTTGGATGAAATTTGGCACAGTTCACGTATTTGGCCCAAGGACGAACCCTATTTCGTCCGATGTTATGTAAATGATACAACTCCCAATATTTGTCCGATTGGGACAAAAATTTGCACAGCGCACTGAATCAGGTCCATGCTTATGTGTGCGGAGTTATGTTGGAATCGGTTCAGATTTAGATATAGCTCTCATATATATAGTTGTCCGATTTTATGTGAATGATGCACCAAACTCCTAATATTTGTCCGATTGGCACAAAATTTTGCACAGAGTCTTGAATTAGGTCTAGACTGAGGTCTGCGAAGTTTTGTTAAAATCGGTTCACATTTAGATATAGCTCCCATGTATAGTTTCGTCCGATTTTTTAGTGTTTGATACACCAAACTCCCAATATTTGTCCGATTGGGACAACATTTTGCACATAGTACTGATTTAGGTCCAGACTGATGTCTGCGAAGTTTAGTTAAAATCGGTTCAGATTTAGATATAGCTCCCATATATAGTTTCGTCCGATTTTATGTGAATGACGCACCAAACTCCCAATATGTGTCCGATTGGGGCAAACTTTTGCACAGAGTTCTGAATTAGGTCCAGACTTAGGTACTCCCAATATTTGTCCGAGTGGGACAACATTTTGCGCAGAGTATGACATTAGATCCAGACTGTTGTCTGTGAAGTTTTTTTTTTTAAATCGGTTCAGATTTAGATATAGCATGTACCCAAAGTGGTGAAGGGTATCATATAGTCGGCCCCGTCCGGGTTTTGAACTTTCCTTACTGGTTTATTGTTTACATATCACCAAAATACAATAGGGCAGACATAGTATATTTGGTGGACCCTGGACAGAAAACCAGACAAATTTAAAATTACAAAATTTATATCAATCGTATAGACTTCGGGATACAATATATATATATATATAATGTTCTACAAATTTATATATTAAAGCAATATGTAAATCTGACCCGAATTAAAGTATGTTTGGCAAACATCATTTTGCCAAATTACATGAAATGGGGCAAAAAGTAAATGGGATTTATATTTAAATCTGAAACGATTTGAAACCCCATTAAACAAACAGACAAACAATTTAATCAAATCGGAAGATTTAATCAATTGGGCAGAATGTCTTCGAATTCGGACAACCTCTTAGGTTGGGAGCACTATTGAAATATAATCAGGAAAAAATATATGTGGAAGTAATACCTTAAATTTCTAAAGCGTAAATTTGTTACGATTTCCAAAATTTAAATTGAAAACGGCGGCGCGTTCGCCATTTTAATACCCTTCACCACACTGTGGTACAGGATATTATGTCTTCGTGCATATGTTTATAACAGACAGAATGAAATGAGATATTAAATATTTACGTCTTTTCTTGCAAAATCGTAGTCAGCGTCTCCGAAATAATGGGCAAAAAATAGGATCTCCGGCCTATAATGCGATGAGCAAAATTTTACTTCATATTTATATTTAAATCTTAACAGACTGGGACCAAACTTTGGCGCCATGTGCAAAACTTCGTCTCAGTCAGACAAACTTTGGCTATTTTTTTAATTGCTTCAGGTGACAGGAATTAAATTGACAAATACTCTGGTGTCAATAATGATCACTTTTTTCAATAAGAAAAATACTTACCATATCAATTAAGTCAATTTTGCTTGTATCGGTTAAATCAGACCAATAGCCATGGTCTAGCCATTGGCGCACTAATTCCAGCGGTGGTTGAGATCCATAGGTATCTCTGCTGGGCATCGCAACATCATCACAAAACACAATACACTGAAAATACAAATTATATACACTGGCTTGTTAATACACATACTTGACGTGCATACTTTTTTCCCCACGGGTGGACCATAGACACCTTTGCGTTCTTATCCAATTTCGCCATAACCGTATCCTGTACCAATTGCGCCGATGTTCTTGCGGAAAAGTTAATGATGTTAATCATATTCGATTGTTTGGGTAACGCCATTAAATTGTTCGTCAATATAGCACTTTTTCCCGTGCCGGTAGGACCAATAACCAGCATAGGATATGACAAATTTAAGCAAAATTCTTGCCAATATGTTAGATAACCAGACTCATTGGTTGGTACGATTAGTTCACTGATTTGAGCTCCCTCTGGAAATAATGATGTGACAGCTGTGGGATCGTCACCTGACTTTTGCCATGTCCACCAATTTTCTTGTTCATCGAAACGATAATCCATAAGGGTCAGTTTTTCGGGAAACATTTGTCCTCGATTTAGGGAGAAGTATTTAGGTCGCGGATAGTTCTCATTGGCACCATAAAGAATTTTCCGTATCATGCTATCGAAATGTTTAATGCCTTTGACTGCAAGAAATACCAAAACATATTAAGAGAAGTAAAAAGCTGGACATAAATTATTCCGTTGCAATCAAAGTAATATCATGTACCAATATAACCCATAAAGTCATCTGTGCACATAAGCGCATTTTTAAATCCACCCATGCCGAACTTATCGACAAAAGGACATGTGTGTATTGGGTTTATTTTCTCCATTTAATTCTGAGCTCTGAATAACACACATTTAACTTGTCATCCTTAAATCATGTGTTACATATATAAACATACCTTGTAAATGCGATCCATAAGCCCACGCAAAGCAAAACAGAAACATTTGTTGGAACCATACCTGATTAAAGGTTTTATGTTTATCCAGGAAGTGGAAGAAGAAGCAGGAGAACATCTTGAAGAGAAATGTTAAATATCGTTTTGAAAATAAATATATATTACAACAGAGAAAATTTCAAAATATATGTATAAATATAATTGTAATTTGTTTTTGCAAAATAGTCAGGCTTAACCCCAGTTTCTTGTTTTTTATAAAAAACAACTACTTATTAGTGGGGAATGTATGGCATTGTCCGCCGAGGGGTAAGGCAGGGAAGACTTGAGAAAACCTCAATGTTTTCCAAAAAATGTAAACATTTCATTAATATCACAACTATTTTCCTAC